TGACCCAAAGAGTGACTTCAGCCTAGGAGGGTTAAATATGTCGTACATATGGCATGGCAAGACTTGACCTGTCAGTGTCACCCTTCGCAAGTTAGACATTCCCCTAAGACGTGTGCCTCATATCAGGCATATATGCGTGTGTGTAGTATACCACAGGGCATTACACGGTGAGAGGAGTCCAGTGTTGTAGTCGGTACCATCGCAAGACCATGCATCAGACCATTCACAAGACCATGCATCAGACCAGACACAAGACCATGCATCAGACCAGACATAAGACCAGTCACCAGTGACAGGGCGAACAATGACAAAGGATTGCTTTTGTTGCAGTTCATTTGAATAGCTTGTGGCTTGAATTCAGACAGGAGGTCTTGTGTTGGTCTTGTGTGGTCTTGTGAATGTCTTAAGTGGTCTCGACTACAACACTGGAGGAGTCATCTGAGATTTCTGAGATGTCACTCATTGTATACATGCACATGGCGCATGAATTGCACCTGTATACCTGTAGCTGAATTACATGCAGTGTGCAGTTTGCGTTCATATTTACTGCTCGTTGGCATATTTTGTATCAACTAACAGGCCAAATGGATGCACATGCTGGTGGATTGTATGTGTTAGAGTGTTTGGTTTGTCCAAGGATTGGAACGCTCTGTGATATTTAAGTGTCACAGGGATTGGAAAATGCTTGTGAACAGTTGTGAATAGCTTAGTTGGGTGCACACTGCCATTTCTCAATGTATGGACCTCTTTTTTATTTATTTCCTGATCCACAGCCTCTCAGACAGTCAAGAAAGTTATTGAGATCAACCCGTATTTGTTGGGCACCATGGCCGGCGGAGCTGCAGACTGTATGTTCTGGGAACGCGTTTTGGCAGAACGCTGCAGGTAGAGCAGTTTGTTTTTGTTGAACTAGCTGATATGCATAAGGTCAGCACCCCAGAGATAAGTGAACAGAAATATTAGACCGTTCTCTTGATTTATCTCATAAATGAACCCTGCGGCAGATGAATTATCAATCACTGG